AAGCAGGATGATCAAGGTTTCAGGGCCAGTCTCAGTTACATAGAGTTTTGGAGGCTAATCTGGGCTAAAGAGAATTTTTCTCAAAAAAGGTAACATTTTAATAAAGTGCCTCTTTTGTCAATCACTCTCTCTCTCTCTCTCTCTCTCTCTCTCTCTCTCTCTCTCTCTCTCTCTCTCTCTCTCTTTCGTGAGATAGCGTCCCTCACTGGATCCGGAGTCATCTGGGATAGACTGGCTGGTCAACAGCCCTTGGGATTCTCCCATTTCCACCCCTAGCACTGAGTGGAATGCCTACCACAGATGCCTGTTACCATGCCCGGCCTTTTATGTGGGTGATGGGGCACCACCTGGATCCCTATGCCCGCAGAGCAAACACTGTACCCATCACCTTCCCAGCTCCCTAACAATATTGTTAAGAATAGGAGAGTCCCAGAAACAAAATACATTAAAATTAATTCTAAAATATAAGAAATGTTGGTTTAAAAATTGAAATATATATGTATACTCAATATACTATACATATATAATAGTTGGTGGCAGTTTCTTACATGGACTGTCTAAAATTAAATACTTTTACTGCCTTGTGATTTTGAGACCAATCAATACACTATAAAGTACCCTCTGTGGCTCTTAAGTCTTCATTTGTGCCTTAACAACAGCCGACATTCATTTGTAATGAGGTCTTTTTATAGTTACACAGCTATTTTGAGTCTCTTCTGAAGATATATTAAACCTTTGAGCGCTCAATAAAAATGACCAATTAATTGACTCTATCACAAAAACCTGAGAAGCTACTCCAAAAATATTTACATTCAAGACTAGCCAAGTCAAAATGAATTACTGGTCTCCTGTGCAAGCTCTCGTACTTATAAATGAAGTTAAAAATGGCCTCCAAATGAGTCCTTTCAAAGGAAGCTATAAAACATGTGCTATGTTAGGTATATTTTAAATGCTGCCACCCAAATTTATGGTTCTATTTAAGGTATGAAATATCTGCAGCAGTTACTGGGAAGGGACCCCAAAAGAGTAGGGGAGGTCAAGAGTAGGGACAAGCTTTGGGGTCCAGCAGGACTCATTATGAACCCCCACATCATTCCTCACAAACTTTGGGACCATGTTCAAGTTCATAAAAAGCTCACTGAGTCTTGATTTCAGTTATCAAATGGGAACACAAGGCCGCCTGCCTTGAGGACTGAATTAGATAACACACACACACACACACACACACACACACACACACACACACACACACACACACACACGGACTGCTTAGCATGGGCCCTTGACCATGAGAAATACTAAAAAATGCCAATTACAACAAAAGAAATGTTTAAGAAACACGTATGTGTGGGAATTGGGGGAGACTGGGCACCCTCAGACAAACTGGGCAAGCACTTTACCAGGTGACCCTCTAAGAATGTATTTTTATTTGTAATGTAATTTTCCACTCAAGGAAAGATTTGAAGGAAAAGTGTAGAGGCAACCCCAGTTTTTTCCACGTGCACTTCACCCGATCATCTTTTCCATGAGTGCTTTCATAAGTACCAGAACCATTTACTGGATCTCAAGTAGCATCTTAAAAATTATATAGAAAACACATGTGGGAAGTCTAAACACTACTTCAAGAATTTACAAATGTACCATTGGGTGCTGGACATGGTGGTGTGTGCCAATAATTCCAGCAGGTGAAAGGCTGAGACAAGACTACACAGGAACTCTATCTCAAAAGACCATAGACTGGGGACATGACTCAGACAGGATGCTTGCCTAGCAGGGTCCTACACTCAATCCTCAAAAAGTAATATATATATATATATATATATATATATATATATATATATATATATATATATATATACATATATATATATATATATATATATATGTATATATATATAACACGTAAGCATGCATACACACAACACACACTCAGTGTTTGTATTTCAGGGAACAACATATAATACTCCTCTTAATTGAAAGCCACCCTTTTACCTTCTAATGAGAATAAAAATAAGCTGTCCTTGAGTGTTTAGCTTGTGTATCTAACATTGTGCAAAGAGTGTGTGCATATCATTTCCACAAAATCCCTCCAGGAAGAAGGAATCTCTCAGAGGAGGAAACCAAAATTTTCAACTACTTGCCACAACAAAGGGCTTTTTACCAGGACAGCCAGTTTCAAATTCAGGCCCCTAATTCAAAACCTTGACATGTTTACTTTTTTCCTTATATAAAATTTATCCAGGACGTAGACTTTTCACAAGGCTTTAACGAGTGCTGTTGTCTGGGGGTGCTGCACGTCTCAGAGGAGGTTGTGATTCGGGGGCCAAAGTAGCAGGCATGCGATCCAGCTTCTGCCCCTGGCACAGGTGCCTTAGTGGCAAGAGTTGGCAAGTCATTTAATCCCGTTGTGTCTGGATTTCCTTACCAACAAATCGGAATGATAACATCTGCCCTGCCTCTGCCTAAGGAGACTGTGAAATAAGCATATGTAACAAGGGAAATGTCCTGCTGTCCTGTCCAGCTATAGGAAAGCATACTGAGTCCACCTGAAAGGCGCCATCCTTCATGAATATACATATCCACTATGATTGTAAAAGGCCGGCGCCAGGCTTTCATGAGCTACACGTGGAAACGCTTTTCAGTTCTTCGTACACAGTAGATCTTCGGCAAATGTTCATTAAAGGAAGCCAGCTGCACCTGCATGCATATTATATTCATTTGCACTGGTTTATTCTTTTCACCGCTAACTATTGAATGCCTCTCTGTGTCATCTATGGACTGCGGCTCAGCATGGAGGCACACCCCCGCAATCCCAGCATTCCAGAGGTGGAAGCAGGAGGATCAGGAGTTCAAGGCCATTCTTGGCTACATAATAAGTTCAAAGTCAGCCAGAGCTAAATGAGACTGTCTCAAAAAGAAAAAAAGAAATACATACTGAAAAAATGGAGAGCTGGGACTGGGCAGATGTTATAGCTGGTAAAGTGCCTGCAGGGCCAGCATGAGGACCTGAGTTGGGATCCTCAGTACACATGTAAAAGCCAGATGTGTTGAGATGTTGCCGGGGGAAGGGGGCGGGCATTGGCCTGCTAGTCCAGCCAAACTGATGAGTTTCAGGTTCAATTCAAGGAGAGACTCTGTCTCAAAATACAAGGTGGAGAATAATGGAGACTATCAAACCACGAGCCTCCACAGGCTGCACACATGTAAGTGGGCACACACACACACACACAGGAGTAGTACACACGTGTACAAACATACGTAAAAATGGACAAAAAGTTAATTGTTACAAAATTGTATAAAAAGCATAAAAATTCAGCTTTTTTCACCTAGCAGTAATAACTTACACCATTACAATGCTTTGTGGTTTATGAAGAACTATATAATTTCATTTTTCATAGCATTCACCTAAGTCTATCACGTCAGCCTCATTATCTTCCTGGCTCCAAATTCAGTGCTCTGCTTATACTGCAAAGTCTTGAAAGTTTCTCAGTTGTTACAGGTGACTCTAAACAGAAACTCTGGAGTCAAATTTAACTAATCAATGGTAAATATATATATGGTTTAATTGCAGAATTCTCCCCCACCCCACACATTTGTGAGTTAACATAATCCTTAATGCAACCACGTAGGTAACCTATACAAGATACATTTCCAAATGTTTCTTTTTGAAACTGCCCTTGAATTTCTTTCTTCTTATAGGCAATCTGCTCTTGAAAAAAAGAAAGAAAGAAAGAAAAGAGGAGAGAAGAAAACCGAGCCAGGCTTCTCCCAAGTAATAAAGGCGGTGGCCGTGAAGGTGCCCTCTCTTTGTTGACTCTTTCAAAATTTCTCAACATTGATCATTGTAGTCAGATGCCCGAGTCACAAACAACGCCAAATGACCGTTAGCCATTTTATTATATAATTCAACAACTACTGTAGGTGATTTTTATGGGGGGACATTGAATTAACTGACAACTTAATGAACTGCTCATTTGCCACGGGATATCTACTAAAACCTTTCACTAAAATTGCCTTATCCTTTGTATCCTAACCACTCCCCTTCCACCACTGCCGCCTCCCCACCACACACACACACACACACACACACACACACACACACACACACATCTACACCCAATGCCAGATCAGTTTCCCAGCCATTATTCGTAAAACCATATTAAAATTTCACAACACATGGTCACTGTTACTAGGTTTTCTCCGCCCTCCCCCTCCCCTGAATCGGTGTCTTAAAATATACCTTCTCCCTTAAAATCCACAATTCAGAAAAGCATTGCGATGTCTCGCGTGTGAAAACATTTAACATAAAATTCAAATGTCTGCTCTTGGCTGATACTCCGGTTCTTTTAAAAAGCCATACCCCACCCACCGCATCCACCGGGTTAGAGGTCCAATCTTGCCACCACAGAGCTCTGCAAGAAAGGGCGGTTATAGCTGCGGGAAAACCATCGCGATGGGAGAAGATAAGGCGAGCCTGTTTCACGCCCTGACTGCCGGCGTGCGGTCCCCGACTCCAGCCCTGGGAGGGAAACCTTTGTTCGCCTCTGCCATCAAACTGGTGGCTCATCAGAACTGGGGCAACAAGAGTTTGTGCGCATCGGTTCGGCAGAGGTTAAACAAAGCGATGCAGCCTGGGGACCCGGCTGAGCCGGTCCGCGTCCCAGCTCCGGGCTGCCGAGGTCCGGCTCTGCGCCGGGGGGGGACCCGGGAACCGGACAAGGCGCGGGAAGGGGCGCGGGGCTGAGCGGGTCCCACGCTCTCGGCAAGTTCCCGGGATGCAGCCCGTCTGCAGATTCCTCGCGGGGACCCACGGGCGCGCACGCTTCGCACAGGTCCGGAGGACAGGGGACCGCGCGGCGCGCGTGGGGTCGCCGCCCCAAGACCTCCCGCCGGCCGCCCGAGCCCACGCCCCGGGCAAGGTCGGAGTCTCGCGCGGGCCCGGCCGGAGGGAGAAGCCACCAGCTGCCCATTGTCTGTTCCCGCGACCGAGGGGCGCTCACCTGCGCTTTCACCGGGCGCCACGGTGGAGGGAGGGATGACGGGCGACGCGCGTCCCGGGGACGTCCCAGCCCGCCGAGCCTCGGCTGCAGCAGCCCCAGCAGCAGCGCGGCCAGCTCTCAGGCGCCCGCGGCCTCCATTGCTCTCCCCGCCGCTGCCACCGCGCGGCACTGCGCGCCCAGCCCCGCGCGCCGTGGTCACATGCTCCGCCCGCGCCTCGCCTCGGCCGCTCGGACCCGCGCCCGCCCCGCCCGGGGACCGCCGCGCAGCCCGCCGAGCTCGGATGGCGCGCCCGGGACGGTTCCGCACCTTGGCTGACCCGAAACCAAGAAGAGTTAGTCCAGGGCACCGGGCATGGCGTGCAGGAATGGCCAGACCGAGGGCTGAAGGCAAGGGTCCAGGCGCACCTTGCAAGGGGCAGGAAGCCAAGACCATCAGTCGCTACCCACCTCGGGATGCCCATCAGGTCCCGGGGACTTGCATGAACCGGTGGTCACTAACTCAAGTGACGTAGACCGTAGAGGGGTTTCACCCGGCAGGGTGCAAAGTATCCGAATGGGTCAGGTACTCCTTGAGTCGCACGAGTGGAAAGATGTCTCTCCAGAGATAGAAAAGCTAGATTGCATTGCTGAATCTCTGCATCTGACCACAGTGACATTGGTCATTATTGTCCCCACTCACAATAAAATTGAATATTGAGTTTGATATCTTAGGGAGAATCATTATCTTTTCCTGATGTAGGCTAATCGGAAGCAGTGAAGACTTAACTTCATACTTTTTGCCATCGCTGTTTGAACGGAAGCCTTGGAAATCAGTTCTACCAGACTTTTGTTGCTATGAATACAAAGACACTAAAATTAATTTAGTCTTATTAAATATTAAACAAAGCAGAAATCTTCTGTGACAAAAGATATAGAAAGCCAACCCTAACATATTCTCCATGAATCAGAGGTCCCAGCGCCCAAAGCAGCGTGTGTGACTTAGAAGAAGAAAATGATATTGCAGGTTCTAGTTTGTGGAGGCTTATTAAACTGAGTTTTTCTGGATAATTTTTGTTTTTGTTTTTGGTGGTTTGAGTGTTTAGAGAAAGTGCTTCTCTGTGTAGCCCTGGGTTCCTGGAACTCACTCTGTAGACCAGGCTGGACTCGAACTCTAGGATCTGCCTGCCTCTGCCTCCTGAGTGCTGGGATTAAAGGTGTGTGCCACGGCCTCTCTGCCCTGGATAAATATTTTAATTAAATGCCAGCATAAGATTTGGGTGTGGATTTTTGAGAGCATAAGTGTTGTTTCATTGGTCAGGATTACACAAATCCTAAACCATGTCTGCTTTACTCCAAATAAAAACACTGACAAGGGGCTGGAGAGGCTAAGACCTCTGGCTGCGTTTCCAGAGGATCTGACAGCCTCACACAGACAAACATGCAGGCAAAACACCAATGTACATAAAATAATAATAATTTTTAAAAAGGAAAAAAAGAAAAACGACAAGTTTTAGAAAGAATTGAGCAGGTTCCTTTTACTTTGGTTTGGTAGTACTAGAAATTTCTAGAAGCTCAAAATAAAATCTGGGCAGAACATGAAATTGGGGTCTTTTTCTTGATGCTTAGGCCAACTGCACAAGAACCACTCTGCAAAAATTCAAATTTGCATAAGTGTAGGTCTACTGACTTCATTTTATAAGACAAACATGGCAGCTTACACACTATTGAATATCCCTGAGTTGATGCCCCTGTTAGAATGTTCTAGCGACAGACTTTATGTATCAGACCTCAACTCAGAAGCTAATAGGAAACCTTGACTGTCTTTTGAGCTGTTTGCCTTGGCTTTTGACTATCATCGACAACAGCTCAGTCCTTGGACTAGTCAGCAAGGAGCTGTGACGTTTATGCTGGACTAACAGAAACTTTCAGACCAGATCCAGCATGTTCAGGGCGGTATGGCTGCAGACTAATGGAAACTTCCAAAGTGGCTCTTAAGTTTTCCCGCTTGGAAGGTGGCATGTTTGACAGAATGTCTCTCTTCTGACTTCTCAAGCATACTGGTTCATAGGTCATACTAACAAAAGACGACATATAAGGACAGCTAAATATCTATGCACAAAAGAATTTTACAAGAATCAGCTCAAAGTACATGTTAAGCAAAAAAAGTAAGAGCTGAATCTATTAAACTCTTGAGAAAAACTTTGAAGTAAAAGCAAGACAATGTTTCTCACATGTGAAAGGAAACGTTGGGCCAGTCCCACTAGTGAACAAGATCTTTAAAAAAAAAAAATCTAAATAAAGCCTTTAAAAACAGAACCATGTGTACCTTAAGAATGAAACAGTTGTGAGCCGCCCCCGAAGTTGTCAGCATGGGAGAGCTGTCCCCATTGCTCATCTGTCATGTAGTGGCATGGGCAGGGGAGAGATGCCCTCCCCACTACCCTTCACCCCCATCCATCAGTGCCTGAGTCAGGTGGGAGAGCTGGCCCTGAGGTCAGAAGGGCAGGAGATCTGCCCTGGCCCGCCACCAGCTGCAACACTTTGGAGAGCAGGCCCTGCACCTCGCCTGGGCAGCACAATATCCAACCCCACTGGCAGAGGTGTGGGCAAGCCAGGCCCGATATTGTGAGCATGGAAGAGCTGTCCCCATTACTCACCTGTCATGTGGTGACATGGGTGGATGAGAGATGCCCACCCCCCATCAATACCTGAGGCAGATGGGAAAGGTGGTCCTAAGGTCATAAGAACAGGAGAGCTGGCCCTGCCCCTAGTCTGCTGCGGCTCTTGGAGGAGTGGCCTCTGTGCTATGCCTAGACAACACAGTAGAGCTGGCCCTGAAGGTGTAAATATGGGAGATCTGACCCTGAGGACATGAGGGCAGGAGAGCTGGTCCCACCCCCTGCGCATGGCTGCAAGGTGTGAACTCGCCAGGGTAATGCAGGAGAGCCCACCCTGGTGGCAAGGACAAGAATGGGCAGGCTAACCAGAGTTATGGGTTGGCCCAACCCAACATCCACCCCATCTGTCATCTGCTGGAGCACGTGAAGGGACTGACCCTGCAGACCCAAAGCTGCAGGATCTCCATGACACAGCGCAACAACAGGATATCCAAGAGGAGTCCCAGTGAGGGCCCAGCATCAATAGTGTACAGAAACCAGAGGCCTTGAACCAAATCAATGACTCTCTGCAATGAACACTTGCAAGTAAAGATAATATGGACGAAAGGGTTTAGTGTGTGACTCACTGTGTCACACTACAGCTGCCATGATGAGATTTTGTTTTTCTTTTAAATCATCTGAGGGGAGCTGCAAGGTCAGAGGATGGATATGCAGGGACAGGAAGTGAATGGGATTGAGATGCCTGATGTGAAAGATACAAAGAATAAATAAAAAGGAAGTTTTTTTAAAGAAAGAAACAGTTCAGGAAATGGGAAGTGATGGTAGTTGTTTAACATTATGAACATGCTTGATGCCATTAAATTGTACACTAAAAAATGGCTATTGTTTCATCCTCGTGTGGCTCGTGTGTAGGCAGTCGTGTTGGTGAGACTTCATGGGTGTAGCTTCTGACATGTCTAAGAGTTACAACCTCACAGCAAACTCCTGGCTCCTTTGACTTTGACCATCTTTCTGTCTCCTCTCCCAAAACGTTTCCTGAACCTGAGGTGTGGCATTTGTGGCTGTATCCACTGGGACTGGTCTCCACAACTACATTTTCACTGGCTGGGGTTTTCTGTCATCGTCTCCCTCTGTTGTAAAGAGAAATTTCCTTGATGTGGGGTAAGAACTACCCTTCTCTGTGGGTATAAGGACACTTGCTGAGAGTGTGGTTAGGAATTAGTAGAGCAGTTGCTGCAGGTTCTACTTCAAGACCTAAACATTATGTCTATTACAATAAAAAATAACATTGTAAGTGTTGGCGGAAATTCTCCATCTACACATTTTTTTCTCTGTTTCGTAAGTCCCATCAAGGATTATCCCAGTCACAGCTTAAAGCAAGAGATAGGTCAGAGGGACAAACTTCACACCATTTGTCACCAGTGAGTGAGCCAAGATCTGGCAGAAGGGCCTCCGTCCTCTGAGTTTAGACAGTGTCCTGTGGCCTGGCAAGTCAGAGGCATTAGCCTCAGTGCCCCGCCCAGGAGTGTTCTCACTGCCCCAGAAGCAGAGTGGCTAGTAACCCAGGATGTGCAGAGGTGCTGGCCAGGACAGATGTCTTGAGAACAATGTGTGCAGCTTTATGATGTACCTAAAGAAACAGACACCAAAAGGGAGCTTTATTTCCCGTCAGAACTTTTAGGTACTGAGACAGAATGGGCCATACTTGAGCATCCGGTGTGATCCCAAATCAGCATCCTTTGAGGGGCCCAACTCCGTAGCGGTGAATGCTCCTTTTATTCCCAGATCCAACACTGCAGTTTCCTAGCTCATCACATGATGGGCCTGAATCAGGGAACTGCAGTGGCTCGGCATCCAGTCTGCTGCCACCACCGACCTGCTGCTGTTCAGGCCCGGAGAACACACTCATGTGGCCATGACTGCTCTTTAACCATGTTGTTCCCCCCTAAATGCTATGAGTGGAAGGCTCCCAGCCATGGCCTCTGCCTTGCACACCCCCAAACACAGACTAGCATCACGCTTTTCTAACCGGATACAGATTCACCCGCTTCTCCTGACGGCCGAGCTGCCCAATGTATTAGTTACTGTTCTTGTTTCTGCGATAAAATGCCCGACTCCGGCTCACAGTTGGACAGAGAAGGCCCAGTGGCAGGAGTCCAAGGCAGCTGGTCATGTGACATCCACAGTCAGGAAGCAGACAGTGAGTGATAAATGCTGAGGTTCAGCTGACTCTATTATTCACTCCAGGACCCCAGCCCATGTAACGGCGTTACCAACATTTAGAGTGGATGGTCCTACCTCATTTAACTCTATATAGGAAATCCCTCCTAGACATGCCCAGAGGTTTGTTTCCATGGTGATTCTAAAGCTCATCAAGTTGACAAGATTGTCACACTTGAGTTGTATCATGTATGGTTGACAAGGCTAAATTTGGCCGTTGATTGTCACTGCCCATGTTTCTTACCCAGACAATGTAATGATGACCTAGAGCTGTTTGACATCATAACCCAAAGGGGAGAGACTTGAGGCTCCATCCTGGTTGTGTGAATGATGGTATTCACAACCACTCCCCACGACAGCTAGTTGTTTCCAGGATCTTGGGAGGTATGACAGAGGTCAATCCTGCCTGATTCTGGGAATCCTATTGCGATAAGCCTTTAATATTGAACAGGTTTGCTCCCAGCCTGTGGTGCCGATATAAGACAGTGTGTCCAACGAAGCAGGGGTGAAGGTCCTCACTGATGCTTACCCAGGAACGTCTCAGCACTTGTGTTTGTGGTAAGCAGCCTTGAGGGGTGAGGCATTGTCTACAAAGAGCAGGCTTACTTGCACCTGCTAGGAAAGTGATGGGTTTTCAAAGCTCAGTGTTGCTGTGATGTGACCCTCTGCATGACTGATATTTATCTGGACCTCTCTACATGCCTCAAGGGCTTGGGAGTCAAAGAGACCAATGCAGACAAGCTGCTTACGGTGCCCACTGTGCCATGAGTAATAAGGGCCTTTATTCCTGACCCAAGAATCTGGTTTCCTGCCAGCATCCTTGAAACATTCAGATACTAACACATCACTTTGCTCATAAACTCAAATCCTAGACCCACTGTCTTTACTGCATGTTGTTCCGCCTGAATTTCATTTCTTATTCTAAATTTCAGCATTTTAAATTTTCTTGGAACTTACCCACTTCATCCATCCTTGGTTTTGTTAATCTTACTTTTTGTGGTTGGTTTTATGATTTCCTATTTTCTGTCTTGTTTTTCAGCAGGCAGGAGAGGTTGCTGTGCATTTTCCTAACATTGAGGTAAATGTTTACACGTTTGTTAGTGGTTTTCTTCTAGCGGATTAGAAGTTGTGTATCTTCTGATGACATACCATCTGTTCCCCAGAAGATTCTACATCCATTATCATTCATTCTACGTCCCAAATAATCCAATTTCTCGTAATTTCTTTTTTTTTTTTTTTTTTTTTTTTTTTTGGTTTTTCAAGACAGGGTTTCTCTGTGTAGCTTTGCGCCTTTCCTGGAACTCACTTGGCAGTCCAGGCTGGCCTCGAACTCACAGAGATCCACCTGCCTCTGCCTCCTGAGTGCTGGGATTAAAGGCGTGAGCCACCACCGCCTGGCGTAATTTCTTTTTTTTAATTTTGGCTTTTTGAGACTGTAGACCATGCTGGCCTTGTACCCACTACAATCCTCCTGCCTCCGTCTCTTGTATGCTGGGATGAAATTAGGTACATTCCATTTCATTTGGTCTCTTATGATTTCTTTCACCCAAGAGAAATTTATGC